TAGGAAATGCTGGAGCACGTGGACACAGACACACAGACACACACACACACACACACACACACACACACACACACATACACACACCCACACACACTCCACGACCACCATCAAACATTTGACAACAAAGCTGGGATGAATTTATCTTTGTTTATTTTTTTGTATTTGACTTGTCTTTCCTTTTTTTGGTTGTTGTTTCTGTTTTCACCCCTATATTTCCTTCTAGTATTATCTTTAAAAAAAGTTATATGAATTCTTCAGGGAAAGGTGCTATATTAACTTAACATGATGATTCCTATGAAAGTAATGTTCAAGTCCTATCTTTAATACATAGTGGCTGCGTGACCATGGGCAAGTCACTTAATTTGTCAGTACTCTAAGTGACTTTCTGAGACTATGACTTGCAGAGAAGGTATTGACCTGCACTGGCAGAAAGTGTTTTCTCACCTGGGAGTTCCCTAACCTCATGAAATTAGAGATCTAGTCCCTATCCCTATAGTATTCATACTTCACTGGATAACTATTTGAGAAACTTCCCTCTTTTAAAGTTGACTCATTAATTTCCTAAAAATAAAACATAGGTAAGCCTCACTTTTTGAGATGGAGAGTCAGGATCTATGAGCAGGAAACAAGTATTGTTTATTATTATTGTCTACAATGAGGGAGTTTGTTCAGTGCTGCAAAAGGAACAGGGTGTTGAGGGCTAGGCTGTCCCAGAAGCGGTAAGAAGCTAAACACTTGAGCTGCTTCTGCGTTCATTCATACAATGGTGGCAGTTACCATGGTGCTTTGACTGCTTTGTAAACTAGACAGAAAGCAGAGTGGCTCTACCTACTTGTGTTGGTAGTTTGTCTTTGTCCAGATCTTTGATTTCATTGATACATGGAATTCCCAATTAAAAACACCCTCTGCTAGATTACAACTGGATCTATGAATTATGGTCTTAAAAGAGTTACCTTGTGAGACATGCCCAGGAACAGTCGGTATAGGTCAAAGGCAGGATTTGAACCCAAATCTTCTTGATTCCAAGGTTAGCTCTCTTTCTCTATCCACTACCTTAGGATGCTTTATTAAATGAAGCCTAGAGAGCTTGAGTGATTTGTTGGAGGTCACAAAGGTAGTAACAGAGTCAGGATTTGAATTCAGGTCATATAGACTTTCCATATAGACTACCTTGGCAGACACTGAGAAGCAAAGATATTAAACAAAACAAATCAATCAAACAAACAAAAAACCAAAACTGAGGCCCAGGAAGGTTGGTAATTTGTCCAGGGTCACAGAGCTAGTTAAGTATCTGAGGCAGAATTTGAATCTTCTTGTCTCCAAGTCCAGCCTTTTACCAATCTCCAACACTACTTTTCTTCCACAGGATACTGTACTTGTACTTCAGACACTTACTAGTGTGATCCTGGACAAGTCACTTGGGCCCTGTTTTCTCAACTGTTAAATGATTATGATAATAACAGTATCTATCTCAAAGGGTTGGTATAAAGATCAAATGAGATAATGTATATAAAATAGCTGTATATTGGTGATCTGGATTATATAATGATTATCATCCCTAAACTTCATTATGAACATAGTGTTTCTGTAGTTAGTTTCTGTTGTTGTGGGTGAAAGGTCAGGGCATGGAAGCTCTTTAATAGGGCAGCATTTGGATTAATAGGAGAACCTCAAGTATTTGGCCCCTCAATAACCTGTGAAATTAACTCGAGAGTGCCGGGTTGCCTTTTCCCAAAGCTGAATTGATTTCTGGAGAACGGCTTAAACATGTCTCCCAACAGCCCCAGGTGCAGCTGTCGATTTCATCTAGTCTGCATTTTAAGCAGTGCAGCAGTCAAGATTCTGCATCTGTGCCTCTTTCCCTTTTCCCCAAAATGTCTTTGTCTTGAGCTGCTTCTAGCTCTCCATTTAGATTTTGGTCATGTATTTCCTATCTTGTTCTGGACATAGGATCTCCTCTGTTTCACATGGGCTACCTTTAGAATCAGTGCTCATTGCCAACCATTAATGTAATAGTTAATAGTAATCTTAGAGCCCTCTAGACCTAATGAATGCTTGCTTTTTGATCATATTGTAGTCTCTGCAGCCTGCATTTTCAGCAAAAGATTAGGAACAGTGTATCCCAACAATCTTAGTGTAGTTTTAAGCTTTTTAGTAGCTGATCTGTATTGGTAGAAGGTTTCTTTTTAAGTTTTTAATAGCTTAAAAGTGCACTAAGACTGCTGGGACAACCTGTAGGGAGTTTTATTCTATAGCTGTCTTTCTTAAGATCTACAATACATATTCACTAAGGGGGGCAAGTAGATGGAAAGAATACTAAGACATCTTTGGGACAAAAAAATCCTCCTCACTAATCTTACTTCTATTTGCTTCTCCCTGTTGTGGAACTACCCTTACATCACTTTCATGAATCCAAGGACCCTGCCTCTTACCCTCTTACCTGGCAACAATCACTATCAGGAAGATGGCTATGTAGGGTGAATAGCAATGGTCTGAGAATCAGGAGGTCTGGCTTCCAATCCTGGCTCTGGTAGGTAGTGAGGTGACCATGACTAAATCATTTTACCTTTTTAGGCCTCAATTTCCTTTTCTATAAAATGAGACAGCTGGGCTAGATGATCTATTACATCCCTTCCTTCTGTAAACTTTGTTGGTTCCAAGTTCTTTCTCACATTCCCAATGACCCTCCAAATAGATGATTAATAACAGCATTTATGATTATTCATGTTTCTAATCCATATACTCAGAAAATACTCATAACATTTTGGGATTTATTTCAGTGTCAGTGACCCTTTCCAGGCACTATTACTTGTTGTTCTGCCAGACTTTCCTAGCCCTCTTTTACTACACTCATCAGCTACAGTGAATGGAAAAATGCTATTTACCTACCCTTTAAAAAACTAGTCCCTGCCTTATTCTTCCTAGGGCTGGAATCTCAGCACTGCCTGTTTTAAAAGTGTAACCATGGAACTGGAGAATATATTAACTACTGTGAGATGAAGAGAAATTTTACGAGCTAATTTTGTTTGCTTTGGACTGTGAAAGCTAAGCTTAGCAGGCTCTCCTGAAATGCCTTGGAGAAAAAGATTAGGAAGTACTTTTAATGTTTTTGCATATTACTTATGTGCCTAATATTTGTACACTTTTGCAAGCACCCCAGCATTATTTGTACCACTCATGTAAGCAATTTTTCTTGGTCCCCTGGAACGGTAAAAGAACACTGGATTTGGGCCAGTCAGTTAAGTCAACAAGCATTTGTTAAGTCTGGGGATATAAAGAAAGACAAAAACAGTCCCTGCTCTTAAGGAGTTCATAGAAGACCTAGGCTTCAATCAGGGTCTCAGACAGAATGGACAGAGCACAGAAAGGACCTGGGATCATGAAGATCTGGGCCTTTTAAAAAAGTTTTAAAAATTTCTTTTTAATTTTTATTTACTTATTTTTTAAAGCAGAGACTTTTCCCTCTTCAGTTTTAAATTCTCTCCTTCTTCCTCCCCCACCCAATGAGAAAGCAAATAAAATAAAACCTATTATAAAATCTATTTTAAACAAAACCTATTATTGTAGTCATACAAAATAAATTTCTGCATTAGATATGTTCCAATTTTTTTTTTTTGCCTTTTTGGGTGAGGCAATCAGGGTTAAGTGACTTGCCCTGGGTCACACAGCTAGTAAGTGTCATGTGTCTGAGGCTAGATTTGAACTCAGATCCTCCTGATGCCAAGGCTGAAGCTCTATCCAATGTGCCACCTACCTGCCCTACCAATTTTTTTTTAAAGAAAAAAATTATGCTTCAGTTTGTACTCTGAGTCCATCAGCTCTCTATCAGATAGCATGCTTCATCACAAGTCCTTGGAACTGTGGTGGGATGTCATGTTGATTAGTTACTAATTCTTTCAAAGTCGATTATCTGTACAATATTGATGTTACTGTATAGCTTGTTCTGATTATGCTCACTTCACTTTGCATCAGTTCATACAGGTCTTCCCACATTATACTGAAACCATCTCCTTCATAATTTCTTACAACACATTAGTATTCCAGCACATTTATATACCACAACTTGTTCAGCCATTCCCCCACTGATGAGTATCCCCTGCATTTCCAATTCTTTGCCACTAAAAAAAAAGAAAACCCCCCAAAACAACCCAAAACCAAACCAAAACAACCTATAATAAATATTTTAAAGTTTTTTATTGATGCTCCACTCCCCCCACCCCCAGCTCTGTCAATTCTCAGTGAGCTCCTGCCTCCAACCCTTCCTTGTAACAAATACATTAAGCAAAACCAATGAAAACATTGGCCAGGTCTGCAAATGTATGCCTGATTCTGCACCTGTAGTCCACCACCTCTTCTTCTCAGTCCTCTGAAGTCCAGGCAAAATACGCCTTCTAACACTAGCTCTGAGACTATAGGAACTTAACGTCTCTAAGCCTCAGATCTTACTTCGATAAACTGGCTATAGTAAAACGTGTGGTGCCTACCTCTGGGCATTGTTGTGAATCTTAAGAAAGCAGCCACGTTAGTCTAGGGCTACAACTATTAACCACTGCTACTACCGGGTCGGTTTGAACAGATCACTTCCCTTTCCTGGGCCTCAGTTTCGCCATATATAAAATCGCATTATATGTTCTCCAAAAATGCATTCTGCCCTAAATCCTGTGATCCTCACCCTTCTGTTATAATAGACCCAGGATCAATATACAGGTCCTGTAAAGAGGACAGCAGCGAAGAAGTGGGGCAGAAGGGACATAAAGACAAAGCAGCCGGAGAGGAGCCGAGGGTTCTAAGCTTGCCTCGATCACCCCTATGCAAGCGGGGAGCACATACTCCAAACTCGAACCCGAACCGAACCCGGGCCACATCCTCCCGTGAGTAGCGCCGGGCAAAGGGCATGCGCACGCACGTGGCGACTCCGGTCTCCCACGTTCCAGCGGTGGAAGTTTGGAAGCTTCGGTCTCCGTGGTAACGAGACGCTTTTCCCTTGTGGGAAACAGCGACAGTAGAAGCTCCAGCTCTCACCACGGGAGAGGGGTCGGGGCGGGAGGGCCGGGGAAGAAACCACGCTCCTTTGCCCAGCGCAGCAGGGTCCCTTTCCAACCCTTCCCGCCCCACCTGGGAAAGATGCCCCTGGAAGTGGTAGTGGAGTTGCACATTCGAGCGGTAAGAAAGACCAACCCCTCTTTGTTCCATTCTGCTCATAACCCTTCATTTCACGCCTTAGGCTCTGCTCCCACTCTTTTTAACACTGGGTGATTTTCATTTAGCTTCTAGCCAGATTCCTGATTCTCACCCTCAACAGAGTTCTCTCACGACTTCACAAATGCCTGTCTCCAAGTTTATCCCTCGTAGTCATTGATATTGGAACTTTCTCACCCTCTTCTCTAACAAACACCTTATCTCCCACTCGGATTCTGCTCTTTCTCTGTCCCATTCTTCGGAGACCACTTGTTTCATCCTCCGTGCCTGCTCTCCCAACTCCTTCTGCTCATCCATTTAAAATAGTTCTAGACTCAGTATAATTGCAGCATCTTAAAGGAGAAACTAATGTTAGGGTAGTATTTGTATTCTTTTAGTCCTAATATAAACACTAGAAGGAATGTATAATGAATTCAATCACCAAGTAAAAAATTACCACTGCAATATAGACCAGTTGATTTTCTTCTGACCTAGTTCCCTCTAGGGCCAGCTCTGGCTTGCTCTGGTCTATGAAAATCAATCAGTATTTACAAGGCTTTGCACTGGGTGCTCCAAATAGAGTTGCTATGCTTTTTCACTCTGGTCAGTCACTGACTCATCTCTCCAATCTTGAACTCAAACTCTCAGAATATTAGAACTAAAGGACTTTAGAGCTGGCATTTCCCCTCTTTTAGTGATAGGCTGATGAAGAGCTCTAGTTTAAAACTAATATGGTCATCCCTAAGGGCAGAGACTTAGAGAAATGCAGGACTGGAAAATGTAGTCCCCACAGACATTGGCTACACACAGCAGAACTGGCGATTGCGGGCCTTGGGTTCATAGATATAGGGCCTGAAGAGGCTTTAAAGATCTAGTCCAATCCTTTCATTTTACAGAAAGCTTAAATGATTTGTTAAAGGTCACAGGGGAGTATGTGAAAGAGCTAGGATATGAACCCAGGTCTTTTGATTCCAGATCCAGCATTCTTTATACAGGACAACACTGTCAGAGGCAGTGGTAGGAAGGAGATCTGGCCTAGTTTGCTGTTAGCATATAGGTTCCGAGGAAATATATATATATATGTGTGTGTGTATATATATATATATATATATATATATGTGTGTGTGTGTGTATATATATATATATATATATATATATATATGTATGTATATATATATATGTATATATATATACATACATATACATATATATATACTGCATTAACTGTGATATTTCAAAATAATCAAAGAATGAAGACATTCATTTTATAAGGAGCTAAAATATAAATCAGTCTCCCTCGCAACTAAATAAAAAGTGTATTGCATCAAAATTTAACAGTACTGGTTAGGTTTTATTGTGATTCTGAAATTGAATTCCTTCCTTTACAAAAAACAAAGACATTAATGGTCCATTCTAAAGTACTACTTATTACATTTGCTTTGTTCTCCACCAAATCCAAATCTGGAAGAAATAGGCCTGTGCTCTATGAATCAGTAAATGTGGGTGCCATTTAAATAAGTGAATCTCAGTGGTATGAACATTCAACAAAATTACTCTGCCTTAAAGCCCCTATGAGTTAATTTGGTGGCTATGAATAGGAGTCTCATAACTTTAAACATCTGGCATAACATTGCTGTAAAGGAAATCTTTAAGAGTAAAATGGAACAAAATAATTTAGAATGTCACAGATTGAGGGCAGTTCATTGTGTTGACTCTGGAAGTGGAGAGGTAGTCAATGTTGGGTTAAAGTGAAATGAAAATGATTCCATTTATCCCCAAGGAGTAGTTCCAATTTGTGCCATCAACCATTAAGAATTTTACTCTCCCACCCAGCTAGAATCAGCTATATTTGCTATAGCTGATTCCAGATACACAATACATCTGCAAAAGGGTACTGTCAATTGCAGTCTTTTCTATTTATGAATGCTGATAACATTCTTATGTAAATTTTATAATAATTGATTCCTTGTCTAACTTAAGGGTTCTTTGTGGCTAGAGCATCATTTAAATAACTTAACCCACTTTCCTTTCCTCCCCTCTCCCCTTTGAGAAATGGTAAGCATTCTGGTCTTTGGTAATATGATTTGTGGAGGCACCCTGAATGAAATTCTCTGAATGAAACAAGTCAACATGAAAGAAATTCAGTAACTTTTTTTATGCCTGGTACAACAGCAAGCTCATATTGATGAATGCTGATGTCTGAGACTCTGATTGTTTTAATTTCCATCACCCTCAAAATCATTACAGGAAAAAACATCACCCAAATACAGAAATTACAAAATACACAGATCCTTTTTGTTGTACATGGGAAAGATTGCATTGTTACCTTTAAAAGATTGGTCCCATTCCCCACCCTTCAGCAGAGTTTTATCCTTTAATGAGTAGAAATGATGGGCAACAAAGAACAATCTCTTACCTCAGTGGTCCATGTGATATATGGCCTCAGTTACCCTCTACTAGATAAAATATTTCCTTACAGGCAACTTGGCTTTTTTTTTTTTGTGAGGCAATCAGGGTCAAATGACTTGCCTACGGTCACACAGCTAGTAAGTATCATGTGTCTGATGCTGTATTTGAACTCAGGTCCTCCTGACTCCAGGGCAGGTGCTCTATCCACTGAGCAACCTAGCTGTCCCAACAAGGGGCTTTTTAATGAACTCTTTTGAAAGAGATTTATTATTTATTATTTGAAAGAGATTACTCAAGTCACCATAAATATCCTTCCAAACTGTCATAGAACTAACTGAAAGACAACCCTACTCGCACACCTTTCTAATTGATACCTCTCAAGCTTTTTTTTTCCTTTTCTATTTATATTGTGTGCTCCTCCATTTAAGTCTTTCAGTACTTCACCATGGTGTGGATGAAACCTTGAGTTCTTGAAGGTTATGTCAAAGAAATGCAAGCTCTGCAAGACAGATCCATGCTGGAAAGGCTTCACATAAAGGCCTGGTGACATCTCTGGTCCAAGGACCATCCTGGCTAAGTTGGAGAAGTTTATAACCATAGGACTAGCTACCAGGTGATAAATTTTTGTTTTCACCCACAGCAAGTCAATGAAACCATCTAGTAAGGTATGGAGGGCTTGCAATCTGCATTGGTGGAAGGTGCACTAACTCTGGTGAAATAGCAGGTCCTTGGAGTATTAATGTATATTCTATTTTTGGAGTTTCTCTCAGCCATTGGGTTCTCTTTCATACGCTAACAAGTAATACTAGATAGGAATGGAAAAGATTTATATTCATCTTTTTTTAACAGGATGGGGAAGACTAGAGTTCTGCATCTCTATGTCCTAATTTGTTTCATCAGCAAAGATCAAAATGTGCCCCCTCCCCAATCTACCAAAAACCAAAACAAACATGTGTGGGTTCTTAAAAGTGAATAAATTAAAAATTTAAAAATCTACACATCGGTAGCACCAGACTTTTAGAGATAAAAGTAGTGGAATTTATATTTTTAAAATTGTGTTTGTAATCTACTATGCCACAATACAGTTGTTCACCTTAATGCATGTTAATAATGCAAAATATGATTCTAGTTAACACGTCTTTTCCCCCCTTCTCCTTTTAAAAAGAAGTGCCATGTATGGGTGATATGTGGAATTATATTATACACTGATGTAAAGTTTCAAAAAATTATTTGTCAACAGCAAGAAAAATTGCTTGGTTCCTTTGCTATTGTTTTGCTGACAGAGTTGTTAATGAAGATCTATATATGTCTATTTCTCCCTGTATAAACATGTTATTTACCTAATATGGCTGTGTTCACCTTATGGCTGGCACATGCTCCAGTCTAGCAACTATCAAGATGGCAGGGGTTACATCTTTCCATTTAGATTCAAAATTCCAAAGGAAGTCCAAAATGTCTACAAGAGCTAAGCAAGATGGGTGCTGGTGTGTCTTTGGTCCTTTTTATCCTGGAAGCCTTCGTATCTTCTGGTCCTATATACAATCAAATTATTTACTTGTGACTCCACAGAGCAAAAACAGCAGGGATATTGAAGGGAGACAGCCAAAAATAGTCCACTATACTGTACTGTATGTAACCTAAGAAAAATCCAAAAGCTACGTCTGTGACATTGTGTCTTCCCAGCATGACCCTGGAGAGGCCCAAGATGAAGGCCCACAGCACTATCAACACCCTCAGCGGAATAGCCAATACCAAGTGGTGCAAGATGAACCGAGACACCAGGGCGGCCCTAGTGGCATGGCCAGAGGGGAAGGAATACTTGTCCACCGAGAACGAGAAAAACATGTCCATCTGGTTGTGCGAGGGTCTTCGCCGCCTAACGAGCCCTTTGAGCAGCGCCACCAAGACCAAGTCCAAGAGCAGAGCGAAGAGCAGGTTGACTAGGACCTCTCGGCCGGCCCAGCTGTCACTCTGGTACAGACAGTAAGCGGTGCCGGCCAGCCACAGGACGCCGTGGCCCGAGATCTCGAGCAGCTTCATGAGGGGCCTGGCGCTGCCCCAGGACGACTTCTCCCTGGCGCACACGCCCATCCTCTTGGACACCCATAAGTCAATGGCCAACAAGGAGCTCAGAGCAATGCCCAGGAAGGAAGGGTTCAGCTTCATGCAGTCCTCCTCGGGCAGAGGGGGCGGGGGCGGCTGCGGCGCGGCCGCCGGGGCCAAGGGGAAGGAGCCGCGACGGTGCATCGGGCTCTCGGAGGCCCGGAGCCGCGCTGCGCTCGGCTCGGCGCCGGGGCTGCGGTTGCTCAGCAGGGCCTGGAACTCGAACCTGATGCTGCCGCCGCCGTGGCTCCCGTGAGCGGGGCTGCCGCCACCTCCCGCACCCGCTCCCGAGGCCGCTGCGCGGCCGTCGACGCTTCTCCGGGGGCTGGACATGTCTGCAGCCCGTGACCGCGACCTCGGTCACAGACCCCAGACGGTGACGGCGGCGGCTGCGGTGGCTGCTGGCCAGATCCTGGGATTTCTTCCGCTTCCGCGTAGGAGGAGCCGAGGGGCTGGAGGCACGGGCTGGGGCGGAGCGAGAGGGGAGGGATTGGAGGAGCCCGAAATGGTGATGGAGCTCCAGATGCCGGAGAGGCAGAGAGCAGGGAAAGAAGAAGAGTTAGGAAATGCAGTCCTTTCAGTCGTGTGCGACTCTTCGTGGCACAATTCGGGGTTTTCTTGGCAAAGATACTGGTGTGGTTTATCATTTACTTCTTGAACTCATTTTACAGATGAGGAAACCGAGGCAAACAGGGTTAAGTGCCTAGCCCAGGGTCACACAGTTAGGAAGTGGCTGAGAACTGATTTGAACTTCCTGACTCCATGCCCAGCAGTCTGTCCACTGCACCACCTAGCTGTCTCTGTTAGGGAGATAGACTAGTTCTGAAAAAAAAAATACATACGTACATACATATATATTTAATATAAACAGATTTAAATACCAACAAAAGCAAATATGATAGAAAAGCTATCCAGAAGTCTGTATCTTTTTTTTTTAAAAGCTAGGCAATTGGGGTTAAATAACTTACCCAGGTTCACACAGCTAGTAAGTATCAAGTGTCTGGTCTGAGTTCAGATTTGGACTCAGATCCTCTTGACTCCAGGCCCAGTGCTCTAACCATTGTGCCACCTAGTTGCCCCTTGTATCTTCTTTCTTAGCAGTCGGTACCCAGGAGGCCCATAGTTTGTTAAACGAAGAATGAATTCAACTATGTGGGAATAAATGTATTTACCCTTATATGGGCAGGTAGGTGGCACAGTGGATAGATTTTCGGTCCTGGAGTCAAGGAGACTCATCTTCCTGGGTTCAAATGTGGCCTCAGACACTTAATTTAGCTTGTGACCCTGGGCAAGTCACTTACCCCTGTTTACCTCAGCTTCCTCATCTGTAAAATGAGCCCAAGAAGAAAAAGGCAAATCATTCCAGTTTCTTTACTAAGAAAATCCCAAATGAGGTCACAAGAGTGGACAGGACTGAACAACAACAAGTTTACATTGATAAAATGCCTATACCAACTTATCAGTTACTTCCCTCGAGTCTTCCTTTCACTTTACTTTTATCTATTCATCTTTTATTACTTTTGTCTATGTTTTTCATTTTGTATCCTTTTAGCACAGAGGCAAATCTCACAGTGGATAGAGATCTGGCCTCAGGTAAGATGATTTGAGTTCAAGTCTCACTTCTGAGACAAAGTGGCTGTGTGAGCATAGATGGGCGAGTCACTTAACCTCTGTCAGTATTCTAGACAACCTTACAAGGGTAGAGCGGTTGGTGATCTATCTGCTTTTGATGAAGGAAGTTCTTGCATGGGGATTTTCCTTTACCTATGAATTCATAGGTGCTGACATAATAGTCATTGTTAGTGTGTACTCTGTTCTTCTGGTTAGACTTTCTTTCCTTAGAATTACTCTATGTTTCCATATTTTTTTATTTTCTACGTACTTAACAATCTTAATCACATTACATTATTCCCTAGCATGGTTATATTATAATTTAGGGAGCCATTCCTCAACTATTGGACGTTTATACGATTTTTACTTTTTCCCCTCAAAAGAAACAATGCCATAGATGGCTTTAAACCAATTGCTCTCCCCCCCCTTGACAATCTTCTCAGGATATATTTCTAAGTAATAGAATTATTGAGTAACCAGCATAGGGTAATTTTTTAATGATATTTACCTTGTGCTGATAGATTCTGTCCAAAAAAAAATCTTATATTGCAATTCCATCAGCATTATATATTTCTAGTTTTCCATGACTTAGCTAGCATTGTTTTGTCATTTTATGGTTTTTTTTCATTTTAATGGGTCTGATATAGATTTTATTTGCATTTCTTTGAGTAGACAAGGTAAGATACTTTGCGGGGAAGGAACTGTTTTGATTTCTGACTAGCACCCACTGAGCCTTGAAAATAGGTACTTAGTATATATTGATTGAATTGAATGTGTTAATTATTATTGAAGTTGATAACTTTTTCAAGTGAATATTTATGTGTCAATAGGTATAGAGGGAAGAACAGTGGATTTAAAGCCAAAAGATTTAATCTGAATCCTTACTCTGATATGATAGTCTCACCTTAGCACACTAGGAAAGTTACTTACCTTATTTTAGCATCATTTTCTTCATCTGTAAAAGGAGGGGGTCAAATTAGAGCATGGGATCAGAGATTTAGAGCTGGAAGGACTTTAGAAGCCCTCTACACCAACTCCCTCATTTGATAAATAATTTCTAAAGTTCCTTATAGTTCTCAATGCTGTAACAATTTGGTTTTCCTCTTATGTAAATGTTCTAGTTATATTCTTTGACCATTTGATAGTCCTTTTTGAGTAAGATATTAAGAAAAAATGAATTATCTCTCTGGCAAGTGAATCTTAGCGAGAAAGAGGAGGTTCTTTGATCTTTATGATTGTTTTCTTTCCTTTTAAGATCACCTGCCCAGGTGTGTTTCTTCCAGAGAAGAAAGGACTTTTACTCAGTGTCTGCATCCTTGATCAATATAAGGAGACAAAATGCTTTCCTGCTGTGTTCCCCATTATGATTCATGAGGTTATGAAATTTGACAAGGTAAAACTATTTTCTCAGCTTGGCATCTCTTTGAGATATCCTAATGGGTCACAGTTCACATAAATTAATTCTTTTGATTGTACATGTATAAGCTATATTGATTTGCTTATCATTCCAGGGAGGGGGGAGGGGAGGATAGAATGTGGAACTCAAAACTTTTAAGAAATGTTAAACATTGTTTTTAACATGTAATTGGGGAAAATAAAATATTATAATTTTTTAAAAAGATAGTTACTATCTCATGGTTGGGAGAGGTATAGAGGGTCTGGTTTTGCATCCCAAGTAATCTTATTAAGTTATTGCCAAGTTACTATTTTCTGTTTCTGGAACTTCTATTACATCTTCTAACTAAAACATGCTTTGTTTTTCTGAATGCACATTGAAGTATTATAAGTAATTAAATGAATTTATAAAAAAATTTATCCTATCTAGATTTTTTAAACCTAGAAAAAATTTTATAGGGTGGGATAAGGATGTCAATAAACCAGTTATCAAACACCTTGATGAAAATTGAGAGTCTGAACTGTGAAAGACAGGATTTCTCATTTAAAGAGTCCAAGGTCTCATTTATATAAAACTAAAGCAGGCAAATATGATTCTATTACAATGTTAACCTCTATGTAAAATATTTCAAAATTCCAACTAATAGTCTACTGATTGCTAACAGCAGTTGCAAGACTCTTCCAATGAAGTTCTACTCCAATGGTTCATCATGGTTTGGACCCTGCGTTCTCAAAGGCTACACTAGTCTAAGGGTAAACTCTGGTTTGAATGGTTTGAATTTTGGGTCTCCCTGCACCAGGACCAGCCCAGAGAGGCTCTTCTTGGAAGGGCATAGTAATTGCTAAAGGCCTGTGATCTACTTCCACAGAAAGAATACTGAAATCACCAACCCCTGAGGTACTGAAACATTATTTCACAGAATAAACCTTCTGGTACAATAGCAAAAGGATGCAGAGTCTCCTGGAATTAGTTTTAATGGATTTGAAGATATACTTAACCATGGCTTTGGCAAAGTCTTCAATTTTGTCTCATACAGTATGATTTTTTTTTTTTGGGGGAAGGATCTATACCTCTTAAATGGGTACTCACTTAAATATCACAGAGACTGATAATCAATGAAGCTTTTTTTTTTTGCTCTTAGGCGAAAAATATGATTTTCTGCAGGAGAACTGGCCATTATATTCGATATTTTCATAGTGACTTTGGTAAATTGAAGAAATGGCCAGAAACAAACAGAATAAAAGGAAAAGTGTAGTCCATGTGGGATTCAAAATCCTAGGGGGAAGGACTTGTTTTGTGCAAGCACGGTAGGAAATGATAGACTCAGTCAGGAACATCAAATTTAAATGGACTGGAAATTATAAATGTCTTTGGAAAGTATCAAAGTTCAAATTCATACATTATGTCAAATCAGCTCCATGACCAAGGACCTACTGTGAGGGAACAATCCTGGGACTTCTCTGATAGATCGAACTCTATTCTGTTGAGTTTTTGGGCTGCTGAATTTTCTACCCTGTTTAAACTCTGTGTTTGCATATATTTCATTTTGTTTATTGCTTTTTGTCCTTTGTTTCATTCTTTTTAATTTTTAAAGGTCATTGTGTTTCTGTTCGTCTTCTTGCTGCTTTGTGTTCCCTTTCTGTCTTTTTTCTTATTTGTATGTAGCTTTTAGTATGTTTATATTCCATCTCTTATTTTTATCATTCTTTCTCCATCTGTTTGAGCACTGAAATAGGAGGAAAAAAAAGAATGATTGAATTAAAAAAAGGGTGATGGGCAGCAAAGTGGCACAGTGGATAGAGCACCAGCCCTGAAGTCAGGAGGACCTGAGTTCAAGTCCAGTCACAGACACTTACTGGCTGTGTGACCCTGGGCAAGTCACTTAACCCCAATTGCTTCCCATTCCCCCAAAAGAATGATTGCTTTATAAAGAGAGATAGAGAGATAGATAGATAAAGAATGAACAGGGAACAGGGTTCAAGTCTTGTCTACTTTTTACTGGCCATATGACCTTGGGCAAGTTACTTTATTCCCAGAGCCTCAGTTTCCTCATCTGTACAATGGAGATGACATCCCTTGCACTATTCATCACACAGACTTGTTGTGAGGTTTAGAAAATAATAACACATATAAAGTAGTTTATAAAACACAAAGCGCTACATAAATATAAGCTATTACCCTTTTCTTATTTCCCATAATGATTTTTTGTTCCCGTACCACACAGTCAAAAGATATGCTTCTATTTATTTTCCTCTCTCTGTTGGGTAGACGATTGCTTTTATGGTGGAGTAATTAGAAGTAAACTCCAGTTTCTGAAAGAGGATTGGATTTCCAGGGCCCTACAAATGTGTAGACCTTTGCAAAAACATTTATGACATTCCTGGACTAAAAGAATCTCAGTCCAGAGATTCTATGATTATAACTTCAGTCTTTGTTTTTAAACTAAAAAATATTATATTTACAATAGAAGCAAAAGCTCCTTAATGTATTTTTAAGGGGAAGAGTCAGAAACATTTAGGATACATCTTTGAGCCTTTGAGACTTTCCCCTAAAATATAGAATTATCATTGGTACCATTATCAGAGATTGAACACTAGGTGGATGCTCTGACCCATTATGATGTTTCTTACTTTGAGCTGGTTTGTGTTTGGGCCTGTTGGTAAGGTATGGTGGGTAAAATGCCATACTGGTATTTTGTACATGCTACTTTCCCCTACTAAAATTGGCTTGTGTAAAATTTGAATATAATCTATAATTATTGTTATTTGTTCAGCGTATGTCATAAAATAAATTCTAAGATAATTTATTTTATGAGTTTAGCCAATATTTAGTGATATGCTATATTCATACCAATAATTTTCTGAGATAAAGGCATTTAAGTAGATCCGTAAGTGGATACTTTTAGAATATTCAATTGCCACTTAAATTAGGTTTTTCCTAACTATGGTGGAAGAACTTATCTAATTTGAGAGGGAACATAATAAACAACTCATTCATCTGTTCTCAACACAGTTACTCAAAATAATCCTTATTGTGAAAATAAACAAATGATCTCACACACCAGCTAAGGATAGGCTTACAAGATGCCATCTTAGACCCGTAGATACATTTCTTTCTGTTTATTTGGATGTTAATCCTATTGCTTGTGTTGTCAAGCTTCTGAGAGATGAATTTATTTATTTATTTTTGTGAGGCAGTTGGGGTTAAGTGACTTGCCCAGAGTCACACAGCTAGTGAGTTTTATGTGTCTGAGGCTACATTTGAACTCAGGTCTTCCTGATTCCAGGGCTGGTGCTTTATCCATTGCATCACCTAGCTGCCCCCCCTGAGAGATGAATTTAAAGAGTAAAATGTATATGTTTAAATCAATAATGAATAAAGAATAAGGAGTGGTGGGAAGGGTTGAAGCCGTGATGGTTGTAGTGAGTAATAGCTTTTCATTTAGCACAGGACACAGTAACAAACTTCAAAGGCAAGCAGCAGAGTTTGGAATTCTTCCTGGTTTTGGATTAATTTGTTATATAATAGTAATTCCTGCCCCAATAATATGAGGAATTTTCTCAAACATCATTCAGCTAGAGGTATGAAATATAGATGATATATGTATATAGTTACTTTTCAAGGTTCCCCCCCCCAAAACCCCCCACCAATTTGATCAACTTCTGATATTTTTTTTAACAGAAAACTTTATATAGCTTTTAAAATAAGAATTCTAAAGCCAATGAACAGTCAGCAGGTGAACTCACTATATAGTGAATGAAAAATACCGTTTAAATTTTAATCAAAAATAATGTTGGTGATTTTATTTCAAAATCCTGAAAAATTTCTCTTTGAAATACAAGACTATTTTAGGAGACAGCTGTGTCTCAGTTTTCTTTCAAGGCTTTCAATTTGCTTTTCCTTTCACAGTTCAGGTTCTATCTTATAAAATAGTTTCCCCTCAGTTTTTTCTAAATAAGACAGAAAGAACTCTTCTTTTATAAAAAAATTCTTCATCTTTTCTACTTTATGAAGAGGTACACCTCTGTGTTGGGCAAGACATGGTAATAACATGATCTTGGGAACATTCATAGAAAACATTTGGGCTGTATCTATATTTGTAAAGAGATAGCATGCAATTTCCCAGATTATTCAGTTTAAAAAAGCTGTCACCCACATTTTATTAAACTATGCAGATAATTAAGGCAGAGGTGAATTTGGAAGTTAGGATAATAAATTTTTACTTTAGTCTATACCTCACTCTGATTTGTAGCAATGTTACAATGGTAGCACTAAATAGCATTATTTGACTAGATTCTCTTTCTTAAATAGATGATTAAGTTAAAGGATTAAAAATATACCAGAGAGGGTTAGCTAGGTGGCATAGTGGATAGAGCACAGGCCCTGAAGTCAGGAGGAGGACCTGAATTCAAATCCAGCCTCAGACCAAACACTTGACACTTACTAGCTATGTGACCCTGGGCAAGTGACTTAATCCCAATTGCCTAAAAAAAAAAAAAGGTATATACCAGCGAAACACCACATTCTTCCCATTGGGTAGAGTGCGCAATGTAGCCAGATTATTCCTAAATACGTTTCCAAATGCTTCATGGCACAAATGTGTATTTTTTTTTTCCCTGGAGGCAGATATTGTATTACATGGGAACAATTTCAGAGGGTTAGTGAGATGATCAAATGAAATAGTATCTGTATGGTATTTTGTAAACTTAAAATGTCAGCAATTTTTTGTTATTGTCATTGCCAACCTGATTTTGTGGAGGTAGCGTTACTAGTAGTGGGCATAGGTAAGACTTTTAAAAAGTCTTTTCCTTTGTTTTTAAGTTTACTGAGTTGCATGGAAAAAAACAATGGGAGGAAACAAGAATATTTATTGAATCACACTGTAAGCAGAACACTTTTTTAGATACTCTAATGAGTCTCTTGGTTGGATGTACCTATATATTTGTATCTGGTCCTGAGCTGGATAGTTTTGTCCTTCAAAAAGTAAGATTAGGGCAAGTTGAATTTTTAAAAGTGTATGTTAGACTCAATTATCTAGTTCAGGCTTTCCTGACTGGGACCAATGCAATGATCCTTATAATAAAATGAAGATTTCAAAAGTAGACATAACTTTAAAATCTAGTTGTACTCACAGTGATCTATTGTTGCTTTTTGAAGCAATTACAGTTCTCTAATACAGCTTTTACCTATTTGGAAGATTGCAATCTAATTTCTGTGAGTACTTGACTATGAACACATTCTGTTTTTCTCTCTAGATATTTTTAAATGCACTTGATCCAGCCACTGTAGCGGAACTTCTAGAAAGTACGTACTATTAAAAATTATTGAGAAAATGTGTGTAAATTTATGAATGTGAAATTTTTCTAATGTATGAATAACTACTACCTAGAAGGAGATTTATCTTACATTTATATTCAAAGCTGTGGGTGTAAACTCTGGCTCTCATTCTTGGGTTTCTTTTATAGAACCCTTTATAATTCACTGGAATAAGAAGATTCTTCATCACATTCTTAGGCTATTTTTGCCTTAATTCTTTGGAGGTAGAGTTACTAATTGGTTCCTTTCCTCCCATGTCTAGGGATGCAATCTGGAATTTGCAGGTGACCCTGCAGCTTTCTAAAGCTTTAGGACAATGGATGGCAGGAGAATATAGATATAGGGTGAGAAACAGGGGAAACAGGGCTAAGATCAGGCAGGGAGGAAGAAAGATAAAAGAGTTGGCATGGGTATAGTCCAGGCCCTTAGAAGTACTTAGGAATTTGTGAATGAGGTGGAGTTGGGGGTCCAGAGTCAGATGAGAAGTATGGAGGAGGGACATATACAGATGATATAGGTTAGAAACAGGCTATGGAATGAAACCATGGAAGCAGTTAGGAAACAGAAATTCAGATGATGAAGGGTAAGGCAAGACATTACATCAAAGGCCAGCCAATCAGGCAGGCAGGCAAGAATCAGAAAGTCCAGAGAAGTCAAAGGAGAGGACAAATCACGTTCAGATTGCCAGATACATAGTCCAAGTAATAGTACCAGAATCCAGATGCCAGGCAGAGGACAGTAAGAGCAAGGAGACTGATTCTGAGGCAAATTCTTTCCCAGTCAGAAGTTTCTTATGAATTTCCTGATGGTTCAGAAACCATTCCTTGGGCTTAGCCAAGAGGAGATCTGCTATGAAAAGAGTTGCATTTGACTGGAGGGTAATGTGGGACTGAAAAATAAGGGCCTATTCTGACAGACATTATAAAGACAACTGAAAATAATGGGTCAATATTAATGTATCAAATTTGTCTTCTAAGCATTGCCTAAAAAACAAATATCTACTCTGCTCCAGTCCCTTCCCTTTCTCCCAATTAATTATTGTCCTCATTTGTGGCGTTCTGAAAGTCTTTAAACTTGGGACAAGTGTTCATGAAGTCTTTTGCAGCTACATGTTTTGAAAAAAACATAATAGACTGTATATTTTGAAAAATATGGTTATCTTCTCTTACCCACAAAATCTGGCCACAAAAAGGCACGGCCCTGGAGCCTCTCTGGATTAAGGTGAGAAAGAAGATTAAGTTGGTTCCTGGAAGCAGTAGTTAAGGGAGGATTGGGAAAAATCATCAGTCTTGAAATGGAGTCTTCCTCCTTTCTCCATTTCCCCAAAGAAAGAGAGGCTGATTGCACATATGGAACTTAGATTCCTCCTGGATTTATGTCGGGCCCAGCTCTGAGGTACAAGTTAGGTCAGTAAGTGCTTAATAATTTTTTGTTGAGTTGAATTAAAGAGACCAATTAACTCCAGCATATTTAGGGATTTTAGAATCATAAACTGAGAATTAGGATGGATCTCAAAAGCCGTCTAGTCCATTTAATGCCTTATCATGCACCTGACAGATTTTTATCCGGCATACATGAAGACCTCTAGTGATTGGGACCCCGTAGGATGTTCAGGGTTGGAAAAGTCTTTAGAGATCACTTTACCCAACTCCCAGGGTATATGGAGTGTTTAAGGAATGAGCACCTCTGGTGTCAGGACTTGCTGGGCCCTTTTTGGGGCTGCTCATCTACCTTTGGTGTCCACCTAATTCTCCCAACTTTCACCTGTGGCTCCAAGAAACTGCAGCACATGCAGTGGTTACACCCCAGTAAAACTGTCTCAGCAGACTGGCTAAACCAGGTTGAGGCTAACTGACAGGCCTCAGGCTGGTTGGTGAGTTAGGGGGACATCTCCTCTGGTGGAATGGACAGATGAGAACAATTTGTTCCAACGGCCGTGAAGGTGGCCAAAGTGGGCACTGTGGAGTGCTTAGATCTTGGTCAGACATTGAAGATGCCAAGGTCATCCACTGAATCCCGGGCCATCATCAGTCATCTTGACTTTTCTGTTGCCACTGGACTTTGATGACTCTGGAAGAGAGAGTGAGGCTGATGACTTTGTGCAACCCTGCCTCACTTAAATCCAGTTCACGTGCCAGTTAAAACATCATCCTTTGATGCCATTTCTTCTCTTCAAAAATGAAGGACAAACCACCACCACCACAACAACCCAATTCCCTCATTTTGAAGTGTAGGCACTCTGCAGCCTACCTCCTCCAACCTACCTTACCAGTTTTATTTTGCATCACTTCTCCTTGTAGATTCTAAGTCCCAGTTGAATTAGATGACTATCTATTCCTTGACCTTATGCTGTCCTTTCCCAGGGAATCAGCATGGTAACCTAAATTTGGACAGCTAAACTTGGAGTCACTGGATCCAAGTTTGAATTTTAGCTCTGCTACTTACTACCTGTGTGACCTTGGACAAGTCAACTTAAACTCTCTAGGCCTCAGTTTCTCCATTTGTAAAATAAAGAGTTTGTACTAGATCAGGGCTTCTTAAACTGTTTCCGCTGGCAAGCCCTTTTCACATTTTGGCAGTGTTTGTTGGCATTGTGACATGATGGCATGTGCAGTGCAAAATGTGCGTGCTTTTTGTTCAGAACCAAGGCTGCAGTGAAGTTGCACAATGCAACATGGGTGAGTACTGCCAGAAACACCTCAGATTCATTACATGTTTGATTTTTAATTAATTTTTGGTTGTTCTGCATTCAGGAACTTTTTACTGTTGCCAAATTTTTCACAACTCCATGTGGAGCCGCAATCTACAGTTTAAAAAGCACTGGACTGGAGGATCTAAGAGATTCCTTCTAGCTCTAGACCTGTAATCAAGACTCTGCACATTTTCAGAGACTATCTCACATTCCTGGAACTTAGGCCCTTCTCATCTCTAGATGTAATCTTTTTTGTTCTTCAAGGTACTTCAGGCCATCTCCCTCATGAAGCTTCTCCTTATTCTATCAGCTAGCATACTTAGTTTTATAAATTTGATGTTTCTCTGATTAGACTGTAAGCTTCTTAAAGGCAGAGACGGGAAGCGCTGGTGGTGGTGATGAGCAGGGGTTAGTTCCAATTGTTTCTTCTTGAGCATTTCCCTAAGGTCTTGAAAAGTGCATTGTGTAAAATAGTCACCTAATAAATGGTTTTTGAATTGAATTAGGTTGTAGTTCAGTTGCCAAAAATCATGTAGCTAATTAATGCATAGTCAGGGCTAAAATTCAGCTTTCTGGGTTCTGAACCATAATTCTGTACTCAGTTTAAACATCTCTGATTTATTAATCAACAGCTTGAGCTGGAAAAGTCCCTGTCTTTAAAAGTACTGTCACAGAGGATCTGTTGAAAGTCATTGAGGTGGCGAATCAACAAAAACTGGTTGAGCAGTTTGCTCTGGGCTAGGTGCTCTGGAAGACACAGAGAAGAGAAGGATGTCTTCCCTTAAGGAAGGGAAGATAATAGCTATGCTCTTAAGCTCATAGGATTTAGAGCTGAAGAGACCTTGGAAATCATCTAGTGAACTAGAAAATTTTGATCTAGATTCTATGGACTTAAAAAACCCCTGTATTTTAACATAGGTGCCTTCCTGTAGATCATATATGTTTTGCTTTATTTTATTTTTTATTACTTTGAGAAGGGTTCCATAACCTTCACTAGACTTCTGAAGGGGCCCATGACACACAAAAAAGATGAACTCTTCACACTAGTAATAATAATAATAGCTAGCACTTTACACATGGTATGTTACTTGATCCTCGTAATAACTGTGAGGCAAGTGCTATTATTATCTTCATCTTATAGATGAGGAAATGGAGGCACAGAGGGGTTGAGTGACTTGCTCAGGGTCACACAGCTAGTAAGTATCTGAGTCTAAGGACAACACTCTCCACTGCACCACTCAGCCACCTCCAATCCCATTGTTTTACATATAAGGAAACTGAGGCCCAGAGAGGTAAAGAACTTGTCCAAGGCTGCCAATTGATTCAAGTATTAGGAACAAAGTCTAGATTCAAACCAAGGTCTTATGGTTACAAATGCAGTGCACTTAGCATCTCATTCTGCTACCTCTTATAGGATAAGGATATAGATGCCAAATGAGGCATCTAGACAGGAAGGGCTGAGTTCTGATAAGGAAGAGATCACTTCCATTGCATAGAGAGAAGGCTTCATGGAAAAGGTGGTATTGAATTGAACCTTGAAAGATAGGTAGTTTAATCGTGTCCCTCAAGTATCTCCCTCATCTTTTGTCAATAATGAGGAACATTACTGCAAGAGAGGGTAGTATGGTAGAAAGAGTCCAGGGCTTGGATTCAGAATTGAACTTTGAATTGTGGCTCTACTACTAATTACTTGTAAGCTCTTGGGCAAGTTACTTAGCCTCTGTGGGCCTTGGTTTCCTTATCTGTAAAACAAGAATTTTGAACTACTGGACCGTGGGTTCTTAACCTAGTGTGTATGAATTTTCTTTTTAAAATATTTTGGAAACTATTTCATTATACTTGGTTTCCTTGTAATCCTATGATATTTACAAACTTTGTTCTGAGAAGGGGTACATGGGCTTCACTGGGTTGTCAAAGGGCTCCAGGACACAAAAACATCTAAGAATCCCTAGATTACATAATCTCTGTATTCCCCTCTAGCTTTAAATATATGATCAAATGACTTAAAATACATACTTATGTAAAATGCTTTTGTTGGCTTATAATGGCAACCCAAAAGGCAAATATAGTCCAAAAGGCAAAGGAGTTTTTCAAGCAGAGGGGTGAGGTATCTATGTCTTAGAATGATTGTTTTGGTGCCTTTATGGAGGATGTATTGGGAAGGAGAGAGATTACAGAGAGGAGACCAGTTAGGAGGATATTTTAGCAGTCCAAAGGGAGATGAAGTCTGCTGGTGAGAATGGAGGGTGAGAGAAGGTAGTGAGGTACAGTGTTGAGATGCAAATGAGAGAGATGTGAAGGAAAAGGATGATATTGAAATGTCATATAATTACTGTTTTAAGAGGTAAAGTTTTCTTGCATTATATCAATGAGTGCTTTTATCTTTGAATAACTAGACCATTGCTCTCTAATATTTTGTTGATTTTTGTCCCTTTATTGGGTTCTGTAAGTCCCTGAGTTTACAAAGGGTGCCAGTATTTCAAAACAACGTCTGTTCCAGTAAAGTAAGGTATTTTTTGGGGGGAGGAAGAAGGAATCTTTTTTGTTATTGTTATAATTTTAAGTATTTAAAGTATGATAAATTATTTCAGATTTGAACTTATCAGTTGCTGAAGCATCCCAGTTCTCTTGACAACTTTCTAAAGTATTGTGATATTATTTTTTTTCTTACAGCTTATATGATCAGGTTTGAACTAATACAGCTAATACCTCCAGGTAATGTGATAACCAATATTTTTCTAAATATGATTATTTTATCTTTAAAAAGATTTTTCTTGATCTGATTTTGGATCATTATTTTAAAATTACAATAGCCATACATATATATGTGTATCTGTGTTCATATGCATTTTTCAACAACTCTGCCAAATTATCCCAGTCCTTCCTAGTCTTATAATTATGGAATTGATTGTATAAGCACAGTAGTTTAATGTTTAGTTTTAATGTTTGGTTATTTGTATTTTTAATCAAATTTTATCTACCTACTTTCCAGTTAGTATTATTATTTTTTAGCCTGGCTCAATTTCTTTCAGCTCTTCCTCAGGTTGTAAACTTGAGGATTGTTTAATTTTTGTATTTCTGATGCCTAGCAGAATGTCTTAGACATAAAAGATACTTAATGTTTGTTGTATTGAATTCTTGAGCTGTCATTATGCTCTTCTCTGTATTCTCATGCATGAGTTACCTGCATGTGCTTACTTTGAAAAGACACAAAGAATCCAATAATCAAACCTTTCTCTTTGGTGGACACTTAGAATGGTAGAATTTTTCAGTTAGAAGGGACCTTGGAAGTCATCTTTTCCAACTCTCTGATTTTACAGATGAGAAAATTGAAGCTCAAATTGGTGAAGCGACTGGTCCAAGGTCACACAGCAAATAAAGTGGCAGAGCCAGGAAAAGAAACCAGCTTTCTGTACTCTAGATTTGGAGTCTATGATCACTATGCCTACTGACTTAGATATAGCTTCATTGGGAAGTGAAGAAGTTCAATTAGTCAATCAGTCAACCAGAAAGGATTTGTTAAGTAACTACTATGTGCCAGGCACTGAACTAGGTGATGGCTGCACAAAGATAAAAACAAAACAGCTTCTGCCCTTTATTTTTTTCCTTAAAAATAATTATACTTTAACATTAATTTTTTAAAATTTTGAGTTCCAAATTCTCTCCCTCTTTCCCACTTCCCAACCCTTGAAAAAGCAAGCAATATGGTATCAATTATACATGTCAGGTAATGCAAAACATATTTCTATATTAGCCATGCTATGTTTTGCATTACCTCACATGTATAAATATGTTTTGCATTACCTCACACGTATAAAGTGAAAAAAGTATGCTTCAATCTGCACTCAGATTTCATTAGTTCTCTCTCTGGAGGTGGATAGCATTTTTCATCATGAATCTTTTGAAACTGTCTTGGATCACTGCATTGATCAGAGTAGGCAAGTCAAACAGTTGATCATTGTACAAAATTGGTTTTACTGTGTACAATGTTCTCCTGGTTTTGCTTACTTTACTTTGCAAAAGTTCATAAGTCTTCTCAGGTTTTTCTGAAAACATTCTGCTCATCATTTTTTATAGCACAATAGTATTCTATCATAATCATAAACTATAACTTGTTCAGCCATTCTTCAGTTGATGGGCATCACCTCAATTTCCAATTCTTTGCCACCACAAAAGAGCTGTTGTAAATATTTTTGTATGAGTAGGACTTTTTCTTTTTACTTTGATCTCTCTGGGATATAGACCTAGTAGTGGTATTGCTGGGTTGAATACGGAGTTTTATAGCCCTTTGGACATAGTTCCAAATGGTTCTCTAGAATGGTTGGACCAGTTCACAGCTCTACCAGCCGTGCATTAGTGTACCTATTTTTCCAAATCCCTTCCAGCATTTGTTATTTTTCTTTTCTGTCATGTTAACCAATCCGGTAGGTGTGAGGTGGTACTTTAGAGTTGTTTTAACTTGCGTTTCTCTAATTTATAGTTGTTTAGAGCATTTTTATATGATTATCGATACCTTTGATTTCTTCTTCTGAAAATTACTTATTCATATCCTTTGACCATTTATCAAATGGAATGGCTCTTATTTTTATGGACTCAGTTGTCTATATTTTTTTTCATTTTTGTAATTAATTTCTTTTGATTTATCAATAATCACTTCCATATGCTTTTGAGTTGAAAATTTTTCTCCCCCTTCCTCCCCCCAACCCTCCCCAAGACGGCACACAATCTGATATATGTTTTACATTTAAATACCCATTAAACATATTTTCACATTAGTGAAGTTGTAAATAAAAATTAAAACCAATAGGAGGAACCATCAGAAAGATGAAACAAAACTCAACAGAAGGTAAAAATAAGTGATAGCGATTACATTTCCATAGTTCTTTCTTTGGATATGGACAGCATTTTTCATCCCGAGGCCTCTGGAGATGTCTTAGATCCTTGTAATGCTGAGAAGGGTTCAGTTTAACAATCTTAGTCATTGCATAATGTGGCTGTTATTGTGTACAAAGTCCTCTTGGTTCTTCTCACTTCACTCACCATCAGGCCATATAAGTTTTTCCAGGTTTTTCTGAAGTCAGCCTGTTCATCATTTCTTATAGCACAATAGTGTTCCATTACATTCATATACCACAACTTGCTCAGCCATTCCCCAATTGATGGGCATCCTCTCAATTTCCAATTCTTTGCCACCACAAAAAGAGCTGCTATGAATATTTTTGTACATGTGGGTCCTTTTCCCATTTGTTTGATCTCTTTGGGATATAGCCCTAGAAGTGCTATTGCTGGATCAAAGGGTATGCACATTTTTGTAGCCCTTTGGGCATAGTTCCAAATTGTTCTCCAAAATGGTTGGATCATTTCACAACTCCACCAACAATGTATTAGTGTTCCAATTTTCCCACATCTTCTCCAGCATTTATCATTTTCCTGTTTTGTCATGTTGGCCAATCTGATAGGTGTGATGTGGTACCTCAGAGTTGTTTTGATTTGCATTTCTCTAATCAATAACGATTTAGAGCATTTTTTCATATGACTATAGATGGCTTTAATTTCTTCATCTGAGAACTGTCTGTTCATATCCTTTGACCATTTATCAGTTGGGGAATGGCTTGTGTTCTTATACATTTGTCTTAATTCTCTATATATTTTAGAAATGAGGACTTTATCAGAGAGACTGGTTGTAAAAATTCTTTCCCAATTTTCTACCTTCCTTCTAATCTTAGTTGCATTGGCTTTGTTTGTGCAAAAACTTTTCAATTTAATGTAATCAAAATTATCCATTTTGCTTTTCATAATGTTCTCTATCTCCTGTTTGGTCATGAATTCTTCTGTTCTCCATAGATCTGATAGGTAAACTATTCCTTGTTCTCCCAGTTTACTTATGGTATCAGCCTTTATATCTAAGTCATGAACCCATTTTGACTTTATTTTGGTATATGGTGTGAGATTTGGGTCTATGCCTAGTTTCTGCCATACTCTTTTCCAGTTTTCCCAGCAGTTTTTTTCAAAGAGTGGGTTCTTATCCCAGAAGCTGGGGTCTTTGGGTTTATCAAATAATAGATTACTATAGTCATTGACTACTGTGTCTTGCATATTTAACCTATTCCACTGATCCACCTCCCTATTTCTTAGCCAGTACCAAGCAGTTTTGATGATTGCTGCTTTATAATACAATTTAAGATCTGGAATTGCTAGGCCACCTTCCCCTATTTCTTTTCATTAGTTCCTTTGATATTCTGGACCTTTTGTTTTTCCAAATGAATCTTGTTATTATTTTTTCTAACTCTATAAAATAATTTTTTGGTAGTTTGATTGGTATGGCACTGAATAAGTAAATTAGCTTAGGTAGGATTCATTTTTATTATATTAGCTCGGCCTACCCATGAGCAACTGATGTTTTTCCAATTATTTAGATCTGATTTTATTTGTGTGAAAAGTGTTTTGTAATTGTGTTCATAGAGTTCCTGGGTTTGTTTCGGGAGGTAGACTCCTAAATATTTTATAATGTCTACAGTAAGTTTAAATGGGATTTCTCTTTCTATCTCTTGCTGTTGGGCTTTGTTGGTAATATATAGAAATGCTGATGATTTATGTGGGTTTATTTTATAGCCTGCAACTTTGCTAAAGTTGTTTATTATTTCAAGTAGTTTTTTACTTGATTCTCTAGGATTCTCTAAGTATATCATCATGTCATCTGCAAAGAGTGATAGCTTTGTTTCTTCTTTGCCTATTCTAATGCCTTCAATTTCTTTTTCTTCTCTTATTGCTAAAGCTAAGGTTTCCAGTACAATATTGAATAACAGTGGTGATAATGGACATCCTTGTTTCACCCCTGATCTTATTGGAAATGCTTCTAGCCTGTCCCCATTACATATAATGCTTGCTGAAGGTTTTAGATATGCTATTTATTATTTTAAGGAAGACTCCATTTATACCTATGCTTTCTAGTGTTTTTAATAGGAATGGGTGTTGTATTTTATCAAAAGCTTTTTCTGCATCTATTGAGATGATCATGTGGTTTCTGTTGGTTTTGTTGTTGATATGCTCAATGATGCTGATAGTTTTCCTAATATTGAACCAACCCTGCATTCCTGGTATAAATCCTACCTGGTCATAGTGTATTATTCTTGTGATAAGTTGCTGCAATCTACTTGCTAGTATTTTGTTTAAAATTTTTGCATCTATATTCATTAGAGAAATTGGTCTATAATTTTCTTTCTCTATTTTGACTCTTCCTGGTTTAGGTATCAACACCATATTTGTATCATAAAAAGAATTTGGTAAGACTCCTTCTTCACCTATTTTCCCAAATAGTCTATATAGTATTGGAATTAATTGTTCTTTAAATGTTTGATAGAATTTGCATGTAAATCCATCTGGCCCTGGAGATTTTTTCCTAGGGAGTTCATCAATGGCTTGTTCAATTTCTTTTTCTGAGATGGGGTTATTTAAGTATTTTACTTCCTCTTCTGTTAATCTGGGCAATTTATATTTTTGTAAATATGTATCCATTTCACTAAGATTGTCAAATTTGTTGGCATATAGTTGGGCAAAATAATTCCTAATTATTGTTTTAATTTCCTCTTCCTTGGTGGTAGCTTCACCCTTTTCATTCTTGATACTAGTAATTTGGTTTTCTTCTTTCTTTTTTTAATTAAATTAACCAAAGGCTTATCTATTTTATTGTTTTTTCATAAAACCAGCTCTTAGTT